TCGATAAATCTTAAGGAGATTATGCTAAGTTTATTAAATAAGCCAGTCACAAAAAAGACAAACACTGTATGGTTCCACCTATCTGAGGTACCTAGATCAAGTCAAATTTGTAGGGACAGAATGCTGAATATAGTGGTTTCGAGCCAGAAGTAAATGGAGACTTGTTTAATGAATGGGTTTTAGTTTTGAAAGACAAAAAGAGTTTTGGAGAATAGCTGCATAACAATGTGAATATACTTAACAATACTGAACTGTACACTTAAAAATGGTTATGTTTATAAATTTTGTTATGTCTTTTACCACAATTAAAAACAAAAAAACAAAACATAATTTGACTATATCCTACTTACAAGAGACACATATATTTATATGTATTTGTTGTTGCAAATGGCTGAATAATATTCCATTTTGTGTGTATATATAATTGTCTTTATTTATCTGTTGATGTACACTTAGATCTTAAAAGTTCTTATCACTGAAAAAAATTATAACTGTGAGGTGATAGATGTTAATTAAATTTATTGTAGAAATCATTTTGTAATATATACACATATCAAATTATTATGTTGTACACTTTAATACAAAGTTATATGCCAATTATATCTCAATAAAACTAGAAAAATAAATAAGTTGGTTTAGCTATTTTATTATCAGACAAGATAGACTTCAAGGCACAACCCATTATCAGATTTGGAGAGAGACATGCCACAATGATAAAATGTTAAATCCTTCAGGAAGTTTTAACAATCTTAAATTAGTATACATCTAGTAATATAATCTCAAAATATATATGAGAAAAGTTAACATAATTAAAATGAGAAATATACAAATTGACACTAATAGTTGGAGATTATAATACTCATTCCTTAGTAAGTAATGAAACAAGCAGACAAAAAATCAGATGTGAACAAAATAATTAACAAACTTGACCAACCTGGCATATCTGAAAACTGCACCCAACAACTACAGAATCTGTACTCTTTTCAAGTGCACGTGAAATATTTATTAAAATGGATCATATAATGGGACATCAAACAAATCTCCCCAAATTTCAAAGGGTGAAATAATATAGTGTGTTCTGAAGACAATGAAAATAACCTAAAGAGCAATAATTAAAAGATAAACATTCTCAAATGTTTGAAAATTAGGTGGCATATTTCTAAACAACCCAGGAGTCAAAGAAGAAATCACAGTGGAAATTAGACAACATTTTGAACTGAATGATAATGAACAAGAGGTATAGCTAAAGCTGTGCCTAGTTAAAAATTTAGAGCCTTAAAGTTCTAAAAGGAAGGCTGAAAAACCAATGAAACAAGGACCCATTTCAAGAAGTTAGAAAAAAGACAGCAGCCCTGGCTGGTTTGGCTCAGCGGTTAAAGCGTCGGCACACAGACCGGAGAGTGCCAGGTTCGGTTTCCGCTGGGGGAATGTGCCTCGGTTGCAGTTTGTCCCCGGCCCTGGTTGGGGTCATGTGTCTGGCAACCACTCAATGTGTCTCTTTCACATTGATGTTTCTCTCTCTCTTCCTCCCTCTCTCCCTCCTGCTCTAACTGAAGATGAATATAAAAATGTCCTCGGGTGAGGATAAAAAAGGAAGGAAGGAAGGAAGGAAGGAAGGAAGGAAGGAAGGAAGGGAGGGAGGGAGGGAGGGAGGGAGGGAGGGAGGAGACAGCAAATTAAACCCCCAAAGGTATGAACATATTAAAGGGTAGAAATTAATGAAATAAAAAACAAATATATAATAAAGAAAAACAACAAGGTCAAAAACTGGTCCTTGATAGACCTCTGGCAAAACAGAAAAAGCCACAAATTACCCATACCAAAAATGAAAAGAATAATATTACTAAAGATCCTACCTACATTGAAAGACAATAAAAGATATAAAAACAAACTTTTGACAGCTTTTGTGAAATGGACAAATTTTTTCAAAAACATGTTACCAAAACTGACACAAGAACATAGTCATTTTCATATTTTCTTTAATGTCATTTAAAAACTTCCCACGAAGAAAACTTTAGGCCCAGATGGTTTCACCTGTGAATTCTTTCACATATGTAGGAAAGAAATAACATAAATCTTACATAAATTTTTCCAGAGAATAGATACATAAATAACAGTTCCAAACTCATTTTATGAGGCTCATAACCCTGATACCAAAACTCCAAAAGCTAAGGAAAATAACATATTTCTGATGAATTTAGATGCAAAATTAATCTAGTGCTATATGAAAAGACTAATACATCAAGACCAAGTTGGATTTATTCTAAGAATACAAAATTGGTTTAACATTTAAAAATCAATCAACATAATTTACCACAGTAAAAAAATTAAGCTGAACTATTATGATTATCATGAAAAAGCAACTGATAAAAAAACAACCCCAGTTCATTATACAAATTCTCATCAAAACAGGAACAGAAGGGGATGTCTATAATCTGATAAAGCATATCTACAAAAAAATCCTACAACAAACACCAGATGTAAGGGTACACTGAAAATTTCCTGAGACTGGGAATGAGACAAGGATACCCACTGTCACTTCTATTCAACATTGTACCAGAGATTTAGCCAATTCAATAAGAAGTGGAGGGGAGGGGGGACCAAAAGGTAAATTACATGAGCAGACTGAGCTCTGGGTGGGGTTAAGAAAGGCAGGACAGGGATAAAGGGGTGGGGGGACAGAAAACTGAACTAAAGTTCAATTTTCAATTGTAAAGCACTATAATAACTTCGCTTCTTAAACTTCTGTGATCCTCCCTACAAACTTGTAGGCTAGATAAAGCAGGTATTATTTACTTCAACTTTGCAAATAAATTAAGACTCAGAGAAGTAAACTGATTAGTCTAAGGTCACTATTTAAGGAGCAAAAGGCAATATGAAGACTGACCCAGGAAGTGAGAGATTAATTCTAAGTTTTTATCCCTCCAGTATGCTATCTCACAGGAAGGGAGCTAGAAAAGTGCAAAGGATAATTTTGTCCAGAACTTGCTACTGAGTTTTCCAATCCTAAATAAAGCTGTGATTGAACTCTTTATCTAGAATTTGTTTTTCTTTCATATCTAAGAATTTGGGAACATGGTAGGCTGAAATGGCAGAGAGGTACCCTCTGACTTTGCATGCATGGAAATGTCATAAAATATTAAAAAATAAATAAAGAGGACAAACTCAAAAGAAAGGAAAATCCCCAGATGCTAGAAATGAAAGAACTTAAAATCAGAGTGAGAAGTAGGAACTGACCTAGATTCAGATATAGCTTCAGGGTCTGGTCCCTGGAGTTTTAGTATCCATCCAGGAATAGAGATTTGTTTTCCAGCTTTTAAGGCAAGAGTATATGTGGGTGAGTGACAAAGACCAGGCTGTAGTTCTCTTCATGAAATCTAGGCCCTTGATGAGTTGCCTAGTCAGTGAAAGATATTAGGAAAAACTCTATCCACTGCCTCAGGAAAACATAAAAAATTTTCTATCAGGGATCTCACGTACCAGTGGTAGAGAGTGAATAAAAAGGTCCCAAGAAATGGAAACCATAGGCCCATGCTATAACCGAACATGAGGGGAATTTACATTATTTAGATGGCATGGAAACTCCTAGCTGGAAAATTACAAGGACCACTAAAATCCCTAGGGCTCTACCAGCAACAGAAATGAAAAGGCACTAACTTCTTTCACAACACAGCATACAGGACTTCCACAAGGAACAGGAAAAAAATCTTGCTGAAGATGTGATCATCTTAAAAAATTACAAACCATACAAAAAGACACATTTTCATGAAGTAGAGTTAACATATATAGCAAGTAGGATATCTACCACCCACCCAGAAAAAAATAGAACATTCCAAAAGAAACCATAAAACAGTATGTTTAAAATGATTAAAATAAAAAAGTAAAACCATAATAAAAGATTAGGATATTCTGAAAAACTTTGATATTTGCAAAAGAGCCAAAAAAGAACATCTAAAAACTGCAGTTACTAAAATGAAAAACTGAGTGGATATATTAAAAGCAGATTAGACATAGTTGAAAAGATTCTTAGTTAACTTGAAGATAGATAGGAATACATCATCCAGAATGAACTGACAGGAAACAAAGAATAGAAAACGTGAAAGTGCAATTAAAAGATATAGAGGACAAACATCTAATAGAAGTTCAAAGGGAGAGGATTGGAGGAATGAAGGAAGACAAACAATGGCTAAAACTTTTGAAAAAATGAAGACTGCCACGAGAAGCACAACTCCTGAATAGAATGACTAATAACTAATCCACACCTAAACATAGGTTAGCAAATTACATATCAAAGATTTCTGATGAAGATTTTTAATCAGCAGCAAAACAAGTCGCAGACTGTGGTACAATAGCTTCAGAGTACTAAAGGAAAATAACTGTCCGTCTAGCTAATTACCATCTCTTCTCTAGTTCTTAACTCAATGGAGAGAGGTATGCCAGCAGAAGAAACACTTGGACCAGAGTAGTTGGAATTAGCAAATACCAATAATACCTGGGAAGACACTTAATTCAGTGTATACCGCACCTGTGTTTCCTAAATGTGAGGTAGAACAGACAACCTCCACATAAGGCTCCAGAAACTTTTGTCTTTGCGCTATTTCTAGCCAAAAGTTGGATTTTTCAGTGACAAATGCTTAGGCAGAATTATTTATGGAGCATGTAAAGTTAACTCTACATATACAGCATAATAATTAAAACTGAAGTCTCTAGAATCAGACTAATGGGGATCAAATCGTGACTCTGCTTATTAAACAATGAGTGAATTTGATCAAGTTACTTTACTTATTTATGCAGCAGTTTCTACAGCTATATCTCACAGTTTAAAAACAAATTAAATAAGCAAAGACATGTAAAGCATTTGGCATAGTATCTAGCACAGAGTAGATGCTCAATACAGCTCAGTTATTACCATTACTTAGTTTTGACCACAGTACTGTAATTTGATTACACAGTTTGAACAAGTTACTTTTAATATGACTACTAAAATATAGGAAACATACTCTGACATCTACTGAGCAGCCCACAGTCCATGATGGATTTCCCAGCACTTGATTTTGGCACAGAAGATGAACTAGTGAAGATTTCCCAACACCTGTAAAAGATACAAGAACTCTAGTCATATGAGACATGCTGAAATCTATGATGGTAAAAGTATAACTAAGAATATGCAGTGATAATGGTTTGTCAAGAATGGCTGTTTAAAGGGTGTTCACACCAAATGTTTAATACTCTATTAATAGATTATCAAGAAAAGTGTTCTCTAAAATTTCACATTAGGGAGGGCTTGTTAAAACACAGAATGCTGGTTCCTGCCCCCAGTTTCCTATTCATCAGGTCTGTTGTGGAGCTCAAAGATTTTGCACTTCTAACAAACTCCCTGGTGATGCTGATGCTACTGGTCCAGAAGCCTCACTTTGAGAACGTCCATTCTAGGGCAATTGCATATGGACTGATTCTTTCCTTTCGAATGATTTCATCTATTCAGCCTTTCTTAGGATTTAGAATATTAACAGATCTTGGAGGTAATCCTCTATCCTGATCACCAATGGAGAGGCCCCTTCCGTAGCACTGTTAGATGGTCTTCCAGATTGTGCTTGAACACTGTCATTGGGAGGGACTCACCATTATACAACTCCTTATTTAGACACTCCAGTTCTCTCATACAGTGATTTATGAAAGGCAGCCAACCACTTGGCCCAGCTTTACCCTTTAGAAAAAGAGAGCAACTCTACTCCCTCTTCTACATCACGGCCCTTTACCCTAAGGCAGCACTTTATTTTCCTTTAGCTCTCCTGGGTTCTGGCAATCTGTTTGAAGGGGAAAGAAAATGAGTTCTCCCTATACATCAATGGAGACACTCATTCAATTAATAGCATGTTGATGCCATTATGACAAGCATAGTTGGTGAATCTTTACGCATCATTTGTTGCATCAAAAATTTACACCATGTCTTTGTGTGTATAAAATTATCATTTTTTTATTATATTAAGTTGTATTTACAGACAATTAAAAAGTATTTTTAAAAAAGAAAAAAGAAGCCCAGTAGGTGTGGCTCAGGAGTTGAGCATTGATTCATGCATTAAGAGGTCACTGGTTCATTTCCCGGTCAGGGCACATCCCCAGGCTGTGGGTCAAATCCCAGTGGGGGGCATGCAGGAGGTGGCCAATTAATGTTCTCTCTAATCAATGTTTCTATCTCTCTCTCCCTCTCCCTTCTTCTCTCTCTAAAATCAATAAAGAAAAAAAAATTAAAAAAAAAAAAAAATCACCTGAAGAGCACTATTGTCAACATGTAGATTTAATTCTATAAATAAAGTTTTTCTATAAGCAGATGATTATTGTGAATATATACATGGTATACTCAAAAACAATAAATCATAAGCCTTTGTTTACAGATCTGGTTATGTCTGGAATATATTACTCTTCTCCCCAAACCCCACTCTCCATTGGCCTGGTGAATTAATCTGTCAAGACTCAGCATCAACATTCTAGTTATTGTCCTTTCTTCTTCTTTTTTTATTTTTTATCCTCACCCGAGGCCATTTTTGCATTTATTCTCAGATAGAGCTGGAGGGAGAGAGGGAGGAAGAGAGAAAGAGAGAAATATTGATGTTAGAGAGAAACATCGAGTGGCTGCCACCCACATGACCCCAACCGGAGCTGGGGACAAACTGCAACCTACATACATGCCCTTAGCGGGAACCGAACCCAGGCCTCTCTGGTCCATGGGTGGAAGCTCTAACCATTGAGCCAAACTGGCCAGGGCTAGTTATTGTCCTTTCTGACTCCACACAGGTAAACTAAGCACATTATGCACCATCATCTGGGTCTCTACTGTACCCTGTACATTTTTCTATAGAACACTTAAAACTCATTATTACACTTATTTGTTTATAGGTTTTATGTTTAATTTTAATTTCTTTAAGGACTGGGACTGAGCTTTACTCATTTTTCAAAAAAAATCTCCAATACTCAGAATAGGTTCTTAATTAGTATTTATTTAGTGACCAAAATTTTCCATGTTATTATAGAATCTTCTAAACATATTTAATATCTCCATTGTAGTTCAGAACATTGACATAACAATTTACTTAACCATTCCCTCATTAGATGTTTTAAAATTTTCACTATGCTAAGAAAAAAATTCTATTTAAACTTCTGTTTAAAATTAAGATTATTTCCTTAGTATAACTTTCCAGAAGTGGAGTTAATATGTAAAAGAAAATAAACATTTAAAGTTCTTGATTTATATTGACAACTTTCATCTGGTTACTCTGCCACCAGCCATATACATAAACCTGCAAGTCTTGGGGCACCTCAACAATGTTATGTAGTTGCCCAGTGCTATCAGTTTTCATGACTGCTTCACAGATTAGTCGTCTCATGGAATTGAATCAAACATTTTCCCAGGTTTCCCTTTTATTATTTTTCTTTTGCATAGACATTTAAGATTTTTGTTGCTCAAACTTAGCTTTTGTCTTCATGTTTACTGCATCTATGATTTGGGGGGCATACTGTTGATTTTGGTGTTAGCATATTAGTTTTTTTATGTTGGAGGCATATATTGAGGCATTTAGTTAGCATTTGATGCAAGGCGTGAGCTTCTAATTAAGCTTAACTCTATTAGAGTAACCATTTTTATGTAGTAACACATATAGCTCTCCATGAATTAAGTTTGGGTGATAAGAGTTAGCTAACACTGGATGAACTCTAAACAGTAAGAAAAATTGAAGTACCAGAAATAATGGCTAACTATTCATTTCTTTAAGAATTTTGGGAAGTTCTGATTCTGTTTTTACTGTTAGAACTAAATTAGATTAAAAATTCATTGATTTGCTAGGGGATAAAAGGCCCAATATAATTAAATAAATACCAGCTACAAATCGTAGTTGTTGGTAATGTATTAAGCTCATCCACTATCTCTGAAAGAACAAAGAGAAGTCAGTGTATGCATGTTAATGAGACTTTCAGAATTCCTTACTAAATTATCAAATATCTCTATGGGACACAAAACAAATCTCTAAATCCCAAGTCATTTCTTTATGTATTTGTGAAATACTCCAAATTTCATGAGGGAAATACACCTTTATTCAAAAGTAAACTTTGAAGTTTGAATACAAAGACAGATGAAGTGTAATAAGTGCATTCCAACCTTTCTGATAGCAAATCACTGTTAAAAGGGAACTGATAAGGCAGTAACTGACTTTGTACATACAGGCTAACATCAATGTGTAACAAGATCAGTCACTTTCATGGTGGTCATGACTGTCTTCTGTTTTACAACTAAATTACAAGGAACAAACAAACAAACAAAATGCTTACTAATTGCCTGATCACTTTTCCACATTTAATGCAGCAGCCAATTCAACCCTGTTATGTAATGCATTGACTCCACAAATATAACTCCAGAACCTAATACAGTACCTGCTCTGTAGTACATACTTAAGTGTATTTTGGGGAAAAAATTCGACAACTTCCAACAATATCTAATATCAAAGGGATTGTCAGATGTAATAGAAAAGGGAATTATGAGAGAGAGACACCCACTTCAAATATCATGAAACTGTGTTAGCTCTATATTCCAGTTCTAAACCCTACTTGGTGATACTCTTGCCAAATCCCTTTAGACCACCATTACTTTATTTGTAAAACTGAGTGATTTTATTAAATAAACTTTATCACCACTTCAAGCTAAAGAACTGGAGTTGACATACATGTATTATGTTCATAGAATTTCATAATGCAACACACTTAAGGGAATTTTAAATAATGTTCTCTGTAAAATATTTTATAATGTAAATAATCTTCAAGCCAGGTGAAAAGGTTTTCAACCTCCTCCTTTCCCCAGCAATGTTATTTAGTTCTGTTATTCAGGATAGTTTTCAAGGTTTTGAGGGGATGTCCTCCACCTCCAAGCATCTGGCACAATGTCTCTGCTCAGAACACCCACTCAAAGGTCAACTCCAGGAAAGCACAACTATGAAATGCAAGGTTAGCATTTATTCCAAGTTCATAAAGAGCATAGGAGGGGAGGTATGGTGAGAGGGAGGATAGTGAGGTGGGAGGGGGAAATGCAGACTCCAATTCTAGTTCTCAAATGTCCAAGGTGACAAAAGAATTTTAACACTAGGATTAAACTGGGCTCAACATTAAGTCCTAGTTACTTCATAATATGGCCCTTATCATAATTTCTCTATTTCTTACAATCTAGCACGTAATAGGTTTTCAATTAAGATAAAACAGAAGAAGCCAAGCCCAGTTGAGAGTAAAAGAGGACTATCATCCAATATTTCATTTCATAATATAGCTTTGTGTTTAAGTATCTGGACTCTGGGATCAAACCGGTTCTGTCAGTTAGAGCTCTCTGCCACACTCATCTGGAAAATGGAGTAATAGGGCTGATCTCCGGATTAAATGAGTTAATAGATGAAAAGCATTTTTCTTATTGCACATTTGACATCCTTAATAAACAAAATCTCTTGAAGGCATGGTCCTAACTTCTGTTTTCTTAGAACCGCGCGCAACAGACTATTCAATGTCTGTATATCTTTTAAAACAAAGGAATTGACAATACGTGCTAGGTTACAGTCATCTAGGAGACCGACGTGAAAAGCTGCGAAGGCGGAGAAGGGCCCGGACTCCGCGCCCCCCGGGACGAGAGGCCGCCGCTTCGTCAAAAGAGCAAAGTCCTCTGGGAAGTGTAGTCTTTAGGCCTTGAGCGGGATTTCAGCCCTGGACCGGAGCCAGTTAGGTGGCGGGGGAGGGAGTAGTAGTTATCGGATAATTCAAAAGTGTCGGGAGCCCAATAGGTGGGTTAAGCCGCTCACCTGAGTCTCCCAACACCAGTACCTTCACCCGATCCAGGGACGCCATCTTGACACTGCCTTTCTGTGGTAAACGCCTGTTCCGGATTGTAGGCCAATCAGAGCTGGACATGGAGGGCAGAGCCTTCAATTTCATTGGCCAATCAGAGCGTTACTACCATCATTGAAGGCTTCACTGTGCTGATTGGCCGACCTGGTTAAAAGTAGTAGGTGGTTTTCAAAGCAGGTCGCAGGAATAAGGCGTTTTCTTTGTCGCATGAGTGGCGAGGCTCGTTTAAGCCGGTAGTTGAGGCGCTGAGGGAAGCTGTAGCGCCAGTGTTGGAGGATTCGCTTTGGTAAACCTTGTTCCCTGTTCCTTGTTCTGGGTTCCCTGGCCCGGAGTCGCATTCCAGGGTTTCTCCTCCTTTCGTTCCTTTCTCCTTAGCCTCCCTCCTCCCCTTAACTACTCTCTTGACTGGTTCCTCCAAAGAACCATTGACCCCGGAGCGGCCCGTGTGCGACCTCGGGTAGGACCGGCTTGGCTCCACCGACTGTGACCCCTGGACTCAGCTGGCAGAATCCGAGGGGATTGGGGGTCTCGCAGTGTGGGGAGGAGTGAACATTACCGAACCGGGCTCGTGGAAGGCAGCTGGGTCCAGAGGTTTCGCGGTGGTATGCTGCTTTCTTATGTATGAAGGCGTGGAGAGTCATGAAGTATGGTAACTGAGAAAACGGCTGTTAAATGTATAAAGAACCAAATTCTTACGGGACTGGTGCAGTAATATACGGAAGTAATTTACTGGATTAATAAACTGGAACCCTACATCCTCTCCTTTCTCCGTTTATTTAATATCCTACAGTCAGCATAGTATTCTAAAATGGCAAACTTGATCCTGTTGCTTCCTGCTTAAAACCATTTTAAGTTTAAGAAGAGGGTTTCCAATAGCCTGTCTTTTTCTACTCTGGAAGCAGCAGTGGAGGAAGTAAACTGGGGGGAAGCTGGCGGGGTAGGCATGTTGGAAGAACACGTGCTTAGGGGATCTATTGAGAGTTTTATGGAAGTACTTGATTAGCTGTGCTGGATTCTGGAAAGTCAGTGGTCAGCACCATACCCTGTTCTCAGAGATAGAGATGGAGAAGTACAAGTCTATTCACTGCAACGAAGAAGGTTGGGAAAAAGTCATAGAAACTTGTGAAAGGGGATCATACTAGGCTATCAAGGGGACTCTGAGGAGGTCTCCCTGAGGAAATGTCACCTGAGATGTGAAGGGTGATTAGGAGAAGAGAGTTTGGGCAGAGAGAACAGCATGTGCAAAGGCCTGGAAGTGGGGAAGGCGTGTGTGGCTGATGAACTTGAGAGTGTGCTAGTGTGGCTGGAGATAAGACAGACAGGGACAGTGCAGAGCATTCATTCATTTCAACTTTGTTTCTCTAACTCTGTGTCTGGTGTGCAGTAGTTCTTCAATGTTTGTACAATTAGAATACATATTCGGAAACAAGATCTTTGGGGATCTGTGCTGGGTAGGGAGGTAGGTGAGACTGGGAGGGAATGGGGCAAAAAAGAAGAAAATAGGGAGAGGTCACATAAAATTTTCCAGAAACCAGGGAAGAGCTCTTGTTAAAAAGTATCAGCTGCTTTTCAGCTTATTTTTTCCATCTGGGAACCTGGAAAAACACTTTTCCTCAGATATTTCCGGTTTTCAAGAGGAACTGAAAGTTGAGATTTCTGTGAAGTCCCACTATTTTAAAATGTTGACAACTAAACTCAGAAAATTTGCATGATATTCTTTTGGTCAGACCTTGTGACAGATGCAGCCGGTTTGGGACCTCTGGCCTAAATAATTTAAGAGATCTAGAGATTGTGTAGGAACTTCAGCATATGTGGGGAAGTAGAAGTGATAGAGAAGAGAAAGCAGTGGTGAGGAAGGACAATTTTAGAATGTAGAAATTTTGAACAAGGTGGCATGACTTCTTTCCTGAGCTCCATTTTCATTCATTCAGCTACCTGCTGGACATCTTCACAGGACTATTCTGTAGTATTTCCTCAAAGACAAGCAACTAAAAGTGAATGCCTCATTTCTTCCAAATCTGTTTCTCTTCAGGTGTTAACCTATGTTTCATAGTAGTTCTTTTCCTGGTTACACTAGCTTAAAACAAATAGCTATATCTTAGTGTATTAATAACATTCTTTACTAATGGGGATAGTGTTTCAGTTTTACAAGATGAAAAGTTACAGAGATGGATGGGGTGAATAGTTGTACAACATTATCTATGTGTTTAATACCACTGAACTGTATACTTAGAAATGGTTAATTGGTAAATTTTGTTATGTGTATTATACCACAATAAAACATTTCAAAAAACCAAGTAACTATTTAAAAATTTCCTACTTTTTTATTCCGTTTCCAATATATTATTGGGTCCTTTTGATTTTGTTTCTGTAATAAGTTTCATCTTGTTCTCTTGCAAATTTTTGCTTGTTTTCTTAGTTCTGGTTTGATTACTATAGCTCCTAATACTTTCACAGTACATCCATCTTCAGTTACCTCAATACATTCCTCATATTGTAAGAGTCACTTTTCTAAATAGTAGTTCTTATTATGAATACTGATACTTAATGAAATACTTACATTCCTTAAAGACATGCCACGTCTGGCATGCCACCTCTTGGACATGCCACCTCTGAAAGCAGCATATTTTACGTGGATTATTTTATTTAATCTATATATCAACTATGAGGAAGGAACTGTTGATCACTTTTTATGCATGAGGAAACAGACTGAGACTTTTCAGGGCCACAGGCTAAGAAATGGTGGAACTAGGATTCAACACCCAAAACTATTGGACTGCAGAGTCTTCATATCACACCCTTGCTCAAATTTTTAGGACCCCCTAAGTTATTTCAGGCAATGGAAACAGGCAAAGTAAGTGGCACAGGGTCCTCCAAATGTGATGGGCATTGGTAGGATATGTAATAGCCAGTCACCAGATTTGTCTTGTGCAGTGGTCAGGGACTTTTTCTGTTTATTGAAGTCACATAAAGCACTTTTAAAATAAGATGATGCCTAATCTGACCCTCCCACACCAGCTGAAACAGAATCTCTGGGAATAGGGCCCACTTGGGTACTTGTAAATACTTTCTTGATGATTCTACTTTACAGCCAAGATTGTGAACCATTGGTTCCAAAATATGGAGTGTATTCAGTAGGAGATCAGAAGGGAATACAATAATAGGAAATAATATTGGACAATTATTGGAAAATAGGTTATTTTGACATTTGCCTGCCATTCTTTGGTCTGTTGGATGTTTCTGAAGCCATATTTTGTGTTTTGCCAATTGCTGAGCATGTAAAAAAAACAAAACTGGATTCAAGTACAATGTATCAACCAAATTGGAAAGGAGAACAAAATGTTTCTGATAGTGTGCTATGATACTATGGTGTTGAAACCAGGCACTTGCTGGGTACCCTTGAGCCTTGGGATAACAGGAAGGCTGTAAAACCACAGGTTTAAATCTAGGTGCTGTTTTGTTCTCTTATATAATTATGTGTGAGTGTTTACAATATGAAATACATATTTTATTATAAATAACTTATTTTTTCTTTGTTACGTGTAGGGCATTATATTCCCACCCCCACACCAAATATGTGTATAGGCTGGTTATTTAGGAATATCTATTTAGTATAGTACTGTGAATATAAAAATATTTCCTATGAAAAGAAATATTTAATCTGATAGGGTTGATATCCATTGATTTTAAATAAAAGGTTCAGTAGAAAACAGTGTTAATAACAGAATATGATTGCTTATTGAAATAATTCAATGGGATGTCTGTTAAAATTTTCCCTATATTATAGGGAATGTCATCTCACATAGTCTTTCCTGATAGCCTGACCATTTTTAGTTTGGGACATATTAAATTGATATGGAAGCTATTCTTTTTTTATTTTTTAAAAATGTATCTTTACTGATTTTTTTTTTTTTTCTTAAGGGAGAGGGAGAGAGAGAAACATCAATCCATTGCCTCCTGCACTTACACCAACTAGGAATTGAACCTGCAACCTGGGTATGTGCCCTGACTGGGAATTGAACTCTCGACCTTTCAATGCACAGGACAACACTCAAGCAACTGAACCACACCAGCCAGGGCAATATGGAAGCTATTCTTATTTTTTTTAATCCTCACCTGAGGACATTTTTCCATTTTTTTGTTCAGATAGATTGGGAGGGAGAGAGGAAGAGAAAGAGAACATCAATGTGAAAGGGACACATTGAGTGGCTGCCTCCCGCATGACCCAACCAGGACCGGGGACAAACTGCAACCGAGCTATGTGCCCTTAATGGGAACCGAACTGGGGTTTCTCTGGACCGCAGGCCGATGCTCTAACCACTGCGCCAAACCAGGGCAGCTATTCTTATTAATAAGTGCTTTCTAAGCACATTACTTACATTGTCATTTATTCTTCACTAAGCGCATTACTTTCTCGTTCACTACAAAAACCTCACTGAGATAGTTGATATTGTTATTTCTCAGAGTAAAGTATTGCTTGTGGTGGTTTAAGGGATTTGCTCAGTATCATACAGCTACTAAAACAGGGTGTCTAACTCTGAATTCCAAAGTCCATGCTTTTTAACAATCACATGAAAGTCTAGCCCTTGCCATTTGGGGCTTCTAAAAGTCAGCTCTATGGTTCATGACATAAGAATTGGGTACAATTGCTTTGTTCTGCAAGGGGTCCAGTATTTAAGGATATCTTGGGCTTTTTTTTTTTTTTTTTTAAGGACTGTATGGTATTTACTTAATTGGTCATCAGATTTAACTTGGCAAGGTTGGTAAAGCTGTCTGGCTCTAATTGTTAATTTCATTGATTTTGGTAAACACCCCATTTGGTGATTACTTATGTGTTTATTGGTTTGTTTGTGATTTTATTGTGAAAACATGACTATGTAAAACATTCTGGGATCTGTCTTGATAGAAAAAGTTTTTAAATTTTAATCCTCATCTGAGAGTATGTTTTTATAGATTTTAGAGAGAGAATAAGGGGGAGAGAGAGAGAAACATCTACATAAGAGAACATTAATCAGTTGCCTT